GGGGTGCGGCGGGCGGCGGCTCGGCCGCTCGCGGGCTGGCACGGAGCGGAGCGGCCGTCGGCCACGGCGGAGCGATGATCCGCCGGGAAGGTAAGGAGAGCACCGCCCGGCCCTGCCCGCACTGCTCGGCACCGCGGCGCCGYGCTCAACAAGTGTGCGCCCCGCCGGGAGCCGCGCCGGGACCGCACCGCACCGCGCCCGCTGCTCCGCGCTCCTGCCGCGCTCCTCGCTCCCCGCCACGGCGCCGTGCCACCCGAGGGTCGAGACCCCAGAGCTGAGCGCCCTCGCTTCACGCCCCCCTCGGGTTGTGGACGGTCGTGCCGCCGTGGCTCAGAGTGGGTGGCYGCGGGATGCTGTGCTTGCGGCTCCCTTGCGCGCTGCGGGGAGGAGAGCGGGCATGGGGGTTTGGGCTCTGCCAGGAGGAATTTCCTGTACGTGGGACTTGCATGCACCTTGAGGCACGTGGAGATGGGCCCTGGACACCATGTGCTCTTTCTTGGGTGCTGTGGGAAGGGTCCTGCGGTCTCCCTGCCACRCTGGGTGCACAGCACTTACCCAGATCTGGAGCCAAGCTCTCCCCTGCTCCAGCTGGCTGTCACCCGGTGCGGGTGGCCAGCAGCGCAGAGGTCAGCTCAGGGTTCATGCTGCTCTTGCTGCGCAGTCTGGGCTGTGGTGTGAAGTTTACACCCGGGTCACAGTCTCTGTTCCCCAGGGTCTGGTGACCCCAGCTCTCCATCTGCTTCTTCAGCCTCCGCTGATAAGGTCAGGAATGAGCAGGCATCTCAGCCCTGCTCATGGTATGCTGGGCAGTGTCTGAAGCTACTGTTTTACAGAAAAGGAAGCTCTTAGTAATAGCTGAGGGCTAGGATTGCCATAAAGCTCGGGGAAGTCCTTGCTTTTTCTGGAGCAAGYGTGAAGCCCAGCTCCAAGTCAGAGCTGTTCACACTTCCCCAGACTCCTTTCCCTGTTCTGCTCCCACGATGAGTCAGTGTGGGCTGGTGGCACAAAGCAGGAGGACCCCCTTTCCCTTTCGGCTGAGGAGAAGCTGGCAGGCTGGGCGAGCTGGGACACCAGGTGGCACGAACCAAGCAGACACAGACCCCCTTGTTTGATGACCTGAATTCTCGAGAGCCCTGTGATGAGCAGGGTCATCCTTTCTGCATGAGTTCCTGGCTTAAAAGATGAGTCTCCAGCAGTGGCGGGACAGCTTCCCTGCCTCTTCACACAGACGCTCTTTGTCTGCAGTCTGCCCGGGTGACAAAGGGAGATATCCACTCATAGGGCAGGGATGGTCTCAAGGTCCACAGGAGCTCACCACCTGCCTGAGATATGGGTCATGTTTGAGGTCGGGGCAGCACTGGCAGCTCTGGCTGTCTGCCCAGAGAAATGTGGAGGTGTCCAGGCATAGAAATCACAGCTCCACTGGTACAAGACAAGGGTTTTCTCATAGTCATGGTGAGCCAGTCGTTAACCAGGACACTGCTCCATGGCAAGCTCCCCTCCTCAGCAGCATCTCCTCTGACCCCAAGGCATGGTGTTCCTTYCCCACTTGTCTCCTGATGACCCACAGCCTCTTGCTGCATTGAGCAATCCTTCTCTTTCACCCTGTAGACACCCAAGTTTTGTTGCTGCTGTAGCTGTTTGCACTACGTGAGTGGGCCTACGCTCAGCTCTGCTGCAGCCATCTGGCCCTGAGTGGGAGACTGCAGCTCCTGCAGTAATATTCATAGTCCTGTGCAACCAGAATGGTCCAGCTCCTGAACAGATTCTCTGCCTGTGAAGTGGCAGAGGTGTTCAGGCTGCCCAGTGCCACAGGGTTCAGAGGTGCGTCAGTCTGATTTTGGCCCCTGATTTTCAGGGTGGTGGCAGAGCCAYCTCCCCTCCAGTCCCTTCCTGGGTCTCTGCCATGGGCCCTCAGTTCCTCTCAGCAGGGTTAGCYTTTCCAGGTGTGTGTAAGAAGGCTTTTGTGGCTGTCTGACTTTTAAAAATCCAAACTGGAAGGCAGCTTGAGGCATTACCCAAGGCTGCACTCAAGCCTTCCCTTAACATCCTTCACTGTTAACGCCTTGTTACTCCTGTGTCRTCTCTGCAGACACTGAACGGGCAGTGGAAATTCTGACCAGATACCAAAGCACCCTGCRGTCCCCGGAGGAGCAGGAGTTAAAAGCTTCCATTGGAAAAGTMTCGCACATCTTCCAAAGTGAACTGTTCCAGGCTCTGCTGGGTAAGCCCCTGCCTTGCAGTCCCTTGCAGTCCCTGCAGCCTCGTGTTTAGTGGGGTGTCCTGGGAGCCTGATCCTGCGCCGGTGCCTGGCACTGATCGGTGCATTCCATGGAAACACATGGCATGTAATGCCAGGGAACTGGGCTGTCCTTCCTGACGGGGTTTGTGCAGAAAATACCAGGGCTGCAATCGCTGKGTGTTTGTGATGTGAACAGGATTCCTCAGTCTGATTGAGGACACGGGGTAACGCCTCCTTAATCAGGCCATGCCAGATCCAGCACCTGCTCTGGGATCCTGCCATGCTGAGAGCGCTCTGTGCAGCGCAGGCCTGCTGTGTCCAGGAAGGAAAACTAATTTTTCCCATCTTTAAGAGAAAATCCWCATGTACCCACGCTCCTTTGGGGTGTTCTGGCCTTTCTTGTGCTTAGACCCACCAGCACTTGCAACACACTGTTCCAGCAGCTCCATGTCATAGACGAAAGAGACTTAACAGCAAGGCTTATCCTGGGGCTGGACACCAGAAAATGGAATTTTGAGCACTGTGTAAAGTTTTCCATGTGGATTTARGCAAATGCAGCTGGAGTCTTGCTGGACTCTGCGGCTTCTTTGTGCAAGGCACACAGCTATCTTGCTATTCTCCTTGAGCTCTGTTCACTGTGGGCCTTGGGAAATGCATGCAGCCCTGGTGGTTTCTGTTCCTGGGTCTCCTGGGCAAGAAGCTGAGTTTCCCTGGTGGGAAGGAAAAGCACCCCAGGGGCTCTGCACTCAGAGGAAGACCCAGGCCCCAGGGTGCAGAGCTCCACATGTGGTGTCTGGCTCACTCTCAGTGYTTTTTGACCCGAGGCTACCTCAGCCCTGGTGTTCCCCCTCACTGTTGCTGTTCTCTTGGCAGCTCTCACCTTTTCTTCACACCTCTGTGTTCCACTTCTGTGCCTGCAGAGATGAGTTGCCAGCAGCTCCTCTGTGCTTCAGGGTTTCCATTGAAAATGAAGTTGAATGCTGTGTCCTGAGAAATTTTATTCTTTTGTTTTTTTCTTTCTGGTTGTTGGACCATCACTTGGAGGCTTTCAGTTCCAGCAAGTCCTTTTAAAGGTCTGGTGCTGGAATGTCTGTGCCAGCAGCAGAACCATGTGACAAGGATGAACTCCCCAGGGCAGGTGGGCCCCACACTGCAGGGGCCAGTGTACATCTCCTGTGTTATCTCTTAATTTATACAACGCACTCTCTAAATGATCCCCAGCCTGGAGGCACCGATCCCGACCAGGGCTGCGACCTTCACCAACCTGCCATTATCCCAACAGCCTTGCTGCTTTTGTGTGCTGGCCAGTCCTCCCCAGGGCTGTGTGGAGGCAGCAGAGCAGCTTTCCCAAGGCGCAGGGCTGGTGCTGGCAGTGCAGGAGTGCTGTGGATGGAGTGTGGCTGCAGAGAGCGTGGCTGCACGCTCCGAGCTGGCTGCAGCTGCCCRCTGGCACACAGAGGCTGCACGGTCCCCAGCTCCCTGCTCCCAGCCGCTTGTCTTGGTGTCCTATCAGCCCTGGCACGAGGGAGTGTTGGGAGTGTCACTTGTTTACTGGTGACCTTTTCAACTGGTTTAACAGGATATTAATTCCCGTGCCAGAGCGAGCCTTTCTCTAGATGTGTTTACCTAAACTAGGAATTTGCATTAATTACTTCCGTCCCCCCCCTCCTCCTTCCCTCTGCTTCGCCCTGGGAGTGTAGGTTTGTGAATTCCTCTGTCCCAGCATGGGCATTGTGTCTGGCTGTGACCACACACAGCTGGCACACACTGGGCTGCCTTGTGTCCACGGTCCAGACMCACTGGAGCACAGTGACAACTCTGCAAGGGTGACAGAACATTTCTGTTTCACTTCTTTTCACCCCTCTTTTCCCCATTGGGACGCTGTGTGTGCGTGTGTGTGAAGCCTGTCCTGAGTCAGGGAGGATTTGTGGGAAAGCACAGACCCACTGCTCCCTTCTCACTGCCCCAAGCCATGCCAGATGCTCCTGGTCAGGTCCCTCCTCTTGCAGTCTTTCAGCAACACAGCCCTGCTTTTTTTCAGCCCCTGGGGAAGATGAGAATGAGAGCATGGCCCATCCCTGTGGTCAGGTCGCCTGCTCATGCTCTCCTAGGGCACACATTGGCTGATTGGAGTTTGAACATCAAAATGCATCAGGCAAAAGTAGAGATACCAGAAGTGACAAACATCATGGAGTCTGCCAAGTTGGTCCACGTGAAAAATGCCAGGGGTATGACTTCCCAAATGTTTTTATTTTTTTGAAGAACARGCTGTTTTGGGGTGTCCAGAAGCCCCACCCTGTGTTGTGTCCAGGATGCGTCAGTGCTGTGCTGGATGTCTCAGTCCCTGTGACCGTGCCCAGCGTTGCTCTGCACATGCACCGTGCTCTGCCAGACTCCTGTGAGCACGGCACAGCCCTTTCAGTCCTTGTGCCCCCTCCCTGTCCCCRGAGCTGCCTGTGCCGGGGGCTCTGTGCTCTGCCAGCTCCTGTCCCGGCGGGTGCCGCGGCTGGCTCGGCACGGCGCAGCCACAGCGGTGCGGGAGCTGCTGTGCGCTGGAATGTGCCAAACCCTGCTCCGCACAAAAGAAATTCCTTGGCTGTGCAGAGGCAAAACAGGCTGTGCTGGCTCCCTTCTGCTGGCCCCTCTCTCTGCATGTCTGAGGCCGTGGAGCCAAGTGCGTGACTTGCAAGGAAAGAGCCCAGCAGAAGGGTGCTGCAGGAGCCTGGCTTGGGGGGACGGTCACCCCGCTTTTCCTCTGCTCTTGGAGCCCCTCAGGGAGACGCTGGGTCCCTTGTGCTGCCGGGGAGGATGGGGCTGGCACACTAAAACAGCTCCCTGACCTTTCCTTCTCAGAGCCAGGGCTGAAAGGGGCCGTTGTGCCCTTTGCAGTGGGAGAAGCTGGTGGATAGGCAGGGTTTGTGCGTGGCCAGCTGTCCCAAGTGCCAGCTGCCCAAGGGGCCGAGCTCCTCCCAAAAATCCTCTGGGACTCAGCTTCTCTCCTGTTCTGCCCGAGCAGTGGCTGGTGCAGACCTCTGTCAGCTKCCTGGGCACCCAATCCTCCCCTGCAGCTCCTCTCACCCCACCAAGGATTCCTCCCAGAGCACCCTGGAGTGGGGAAGGCAGAAGGAGAGGCAGGTAGTGCTTCCCTGGGTCAAAACTCCAACAGGACCAGCTTGCCAGCAGCACTGCTGGGAACAGTGGCAGTGACTTCAGTGGGTGGCTGCAGGAGCCTGGGTGGAAAACTGGAGGAATCTGGAGGATTCCCAGCCCTGAGCASTCCTCCTCTTGCAGCTTTGCCCATAGCAATGACGGAAATTTGCAGCTTGTTTGAGAAAGACCTGGTGTGGAAGCCTTGGGTGTGAAGGGCAGTGGGGCCAGGGCTGGGGTCTGGTGCGAGGCTGGGGTTTCTGTCTGGGGTAAATCTGTGGTGCTGCAGCTGGTGACAGTGYATGCATTGGGGAAGAAATGTCATTTTCTTGAAGTGCCTGTGCTGGCTGGCACAAGGGCACTGCATTAGCACTCAGATGCTGGTTTTATAGAAATACTTAATTTATTTGATGAGTTAACACCAGAAAAATAATTTTTAAAAGTTCTAATCTCTGTAAATTTTGAGTTATTTTTCCTTRTTGGATCCAGAATGGATTTACATGTCATCACACAGAAACTGGGCTGTAAGGCAGAGCATGCASCTTCATCTTTTGCTACCACAATGTCCTCTTCTGGAGGCCACCCAGGCAGTGCTGCTCTTAAAGTGCACGGATGAGGCAGACTTGTGTGCAATTTGTGATGCTCCTGAGAAATGAGGGAAACCAGCACATATTTAAATTATCTTTAACACCACGTGCGTGTGTCCTAAAATGTATTTCTGTCACGGCCATGTCCTTTGCTGCCTGAACCCTGTCCACCAATCCTGAAACTCCTCTAATCCCTGGTGCCAGCAACAATTCTCTCTTCTGGCAAGCACCTAAACTGGGCTGAGGGTTTTGGAGGTGGAGARTGGTTGCTTCAGGGGACAAGTTTTGTGCCCTTCAGGCGCCTTGCCAGCTTGGCTGCCCTAGGCTGTGTTCCTGCAGCAGATGGGTGACAAACGGGGATGCCTCCAGCAGTGCACCCCCACAATGGGGCTGTTCAAATCCTGTTTTCATTCTTGCAAAGTTTTGTGTGTTCCAAACGTAATCCTTGCAGCCAGGAGTCGCTGCTATCCTGTTACGCAATTATTATTTTTATAACCAGAGGGAGAGATGTTTTAGCASGAAAACAAAGTCCAGTTTCCCTGGCTGTGAAGCGAGTGCTTGCTGTGATCTCATGTCTGATTTGGGAGGGTTTTCTGCCTGTGTTTGGCAGCTGGGGGCTGTGGAGGGGGTGCCCAGGTGTGGTGGGTACATCGGGGGACTCCCACTCCTCCCATCCACCGTTGCCACATGTCTCCCAGGGCACAGGACAGAGCCTGGCAGCACAAACAGCAGTTCCAAAAGTGTCACTGATGCCAGGCAGKGGCACAGTGCTCGCTGCACTCGGGCAGCCACAGAGCCTGGCTGGGCTGCCCTTGGGCACCCAGCTGGTGTGCCAGCAGCTGAGATTTATAGCAGCTTTCCCCCTGCAGCTGGCAGGTCAGCAGAGCAGGCRGCCCTGGGAGCTGCAGGAGGGGGGTTGATGTTCTCTCGTCCCATCTGCAGCGTGGATGTGCTGCTGCAGTGCAYGGGCACGTGGTTAAACACAGGGAGAGAGCATGGGGAATTGAGTCTGGGCGTGCAGCCCTGCTTTGTGAAAGCATCCCTGGTGTCACGGGCAGAGTGGGAGCTTCAGACAAAGTTTATTATAGAAGCTCTCCCGTTSAGTCATGAGGTGAAGAAAGGACACCCTTCCTTTCTAAACTCATCCTCAGTTTAGCCTGGCTGCAGCTGGATCCAATCTTAGCYCAGGCTTTGTTAAYGGTTATGTGTCTAAAGGTGTAATTGAACCTTTATACAGCTTTGTCCCACAGGATTAAAGATTATAAACCTAATGTATTTATATAAATATATTAAATTATTCRTTTAAATTGATCACAATAATGATGAAGATTAGAAAAAAAGAGCTTAATCAAAATTAWTTGGGCTGAATCAAAATTATCCATAAACTGTATGGATAGCTATAACTACTASTGTAGTGCACTGGTTTTGAAGCAATATTAAAACAATTATATTAAAGCTGGCTGAACAGTTATTAAGTAGAGATTGATGTTGCTCACCCATACCAATGACCATGGGCAAATCTCTTTCACTCAAGAGGCAAATCTCTTTCCCAGGTCCCCCAAGGTCACTCCTTGGGGCATCCCCATTCAAGGGAAGGATCTTCACACACCTTAGGGASATTTGATTGATAGAAGTCCTCACTGTGCAAAAGTGTGACTGGCCTTTTATAGCATAAAGTGATTGAACGTCAGTCATATGCATTTTTTAGATTATGCTTTATCAGACTTAATCAACAAAATATGCTTTGTGCTGAAAAATATGTGAGCAGCTCTTTTGTTTCTTCTTCTYAGCAGTCCTGACTCTCACTTCCATATCAGAGTGTGCACATCCTTGCTGTCCCAGCTTCAGTCAGGGAGCACTTCTTGTATGTCCTGGGGGGTCTGAGGGTTTGGTCAAGCTGCTCTCAGTATTCTTCAGCACTAAGAACATCAAACACTCCTCACTTGCTCTTATCCCTGCTCAGCAGACTCTCCTTGCTCAGGCCTTCACCGATGACCTTGTAAGACAAATTTCCAGCTGCTGTGTCCCTGCTTAGGCAGAGCCACACCTGGGAGGCAGCCTCAGGCAGTGGTCAGCGTGTCCCTGCTTGCACYGCCAAATGCTCACCAGATTTCCTGTTGAAATCTTTATGACGTGGGCATTTAATACCTCGTGGTACMTTGGTGTGGCATAGTTTCAGGTGAAAAATCACAGGCTGGAGGGCAAGTGCAGCTGCTTCATCCATGAGCTCCAGGGAGTGCTGTAGGAATGGCCACATTCCCCTCGAGCTGAGACCCATGGCTCGCCCCTCGACTCACTCACAGGAGAGGAGCTCTCCAGCTTCCTCCACAGCAGATGCAGGTACAGAAAATGAACTCAGATTCCTGCTGTGTCTTTTCCTGCTTCAAGTGCTCATTTATGCTGCTGTGACTTTTTGGCCCTGCCGGCTCTGCCAGGTTTCCTGTTTCCCAGGTGCTTGAAGGGATTTATTGCTTTTTTTATGGCTTTTGGAAGGCGTTTACCAAACTCTTTTGGCCGACCTCTTGGAGTTTTACCTTTAACCTGTCAGCATTTACCATCCATTCTGGTTTTCTCATTTAGATGCAGCTTCAGCAGTTTAGATTAATGTCTTCTCATTTTCAATAGCCTCTTTTCCTCTGCAGTCAAGCCTTGCTTTCCTCCCTTTTGCCTTTACAGGATCCTCCAGCCCAACCCTGCCTGTCTGCTCCAGTGTCCCAGTGGGTCTCTCTAAACAGGCTCAGAGCCTCCCACAAGTTTTTGTTACCCCTTTCAGTTTCTTCATAAAAACAGATTCTCACTTTTGATGTAGTTTCCTTTTTGAAATTAAACACTTCTGCAATGGATGTGTTGACCGCTCTGTAGGTGCTGGCTCTGGAGATGAACTGGGGGCTGRCAGCTGAGTGTGCAGCAGTGGGGGGTTTCCTTAGGGAGGACTGAAACACTGCAGCCCTTCTGCTCCCTGRAATCATCTGTGTTTGACCAGGAGAAGGTAAAATGCTCCTGGCAGGGCTAGGACAGGGTATGGGCTCCRGAGCCCCTCTGGAGTTATACCTGGGCAGCTGCTCTCAGGTTCCACTCTCACCCCATAACTCTCTCTGGGACACCCCATTTCCACACCTCTCTCTGGAGCCACTCTGGTTTACAGCAGCAGACTGAGGTCCTTGGAGCCCAGAATGAGGTGTTTGGTATCTGCTGTGGCAGTGTGCAGGTACCTCGTGCTAGGTGGGAGGAGGGGACATACCGGGGAGGGGCTGTAGTCATCAGAGCTTGTACATTGAGTGTCCTGTGCCCTCTCTGCCTGTCCCCCTGGGCAGGGAGCCCCTCCACAGCCCAGGGGAGCTGGGGARCACTGATGGGGAGGGAAAAGCCCACGGCATCAGGGCAGGAATGSAGGGGCTGCCTGGTGCAGGAGGCTTTTCAGAGCAGAAGGGACATGGGACCATGCCTGGGGCTGGCACAGCCTGGAGGAGAGCGGGATGGGCTGGGGTTGGGATTGACGTTGCTGAGCACAGGTTGTTCTTTCTCCCTGTGGACTGTGTGGTCATTGCTCCGTGGACATTCCCGTGCCTTCCAGAGCCATGGGCATGCACGGTGAGCCAGGCACCCCAGGGCACTCCTGCCTTGCACACAGCAAGCACAGGGAGCCAGCAGAGCCCTCTCCCAGGGTGCCAGCCTCTCACAGAGGGCTCAGCCCCGGAGGGCAGGGTGGGAGGTCAGGTGCTGCACCCCACAGAGGATGCTATCAGGCTGCCTCCCCATCCTGAGGATGTTTCTCCTGCTGTTTTGCAGATATCCACGAGTTCTACGATTTCACGCTGCGCTCCGCACCCCTGCAGTCTCCCAGGCTGGATGCACGGCATGGCACAGCCAGGCAGCAGCTTGGGGCCAGCGAGCCCAGCTCCACAGTCACACCCAGAGAACCCCAAAACCTCCCTGAGGTAAGAGCCCCTTTTGTGGTGCCACAGACCCCGCACAGCCCYGCGCTGAGAGGGATTCCAGGAGCACAGCAAGCTGCCGGCCACCACAGCCTGCCCAGCTCACAGCCAGGCTGCTCCCACACAATCTCTGTGATAGCTTGTCTCATTAATGAGGCAACTTCTCTGGTTCACAAGTGTTAATTGAATTACTCGTAATGCGAACAGCTCCCGCTCCAGCTCTGGCTCCTGCTCTGCAGCTGCAGCTGGATTAGTTGTTCCCGTCTGACGCTGTCTCCCATGGAGGCGTTTCAGCTCTCTGATCCAGCCACTTTTGATAAGTGAAGTAGGTTGAGTCTTTCAAGTTTCCCTTTTCAGGATTTTTTTCCCAGCTCTGAGATAACTTGTGTCTCTCCCATTTGCATTCTCTTCAATTTTCAGCAGCCTTCTAGAASATACAGCACCGGGTGGAGAGGCAGGAATTGAGCAGTAGGGTCTCAGTTATCTCAAAGGCACCAAGGTTAATAAAATTGCCTCGTGTCTTTGCAAGCCTTCTTTCCATCCCCCCCTCACTGCCTCATGCCCTGCCATGGGATGCTGTGRAAATGCAAAAATTCAGAGATTCCTCCTTTCAGTGAAATATCCCTGTCAGAAAAACATTTTCTGCCTCACAGACTGAACTGACTTCCCATCATATACCTATGGGGACTCCAAACATGAGTGTCACACGGGGAAGATTGAGCTGAATATCATCTAAGGAAAAAGAGGAATTTAAATGAGATTGGGGATCAAGAACAGGGGGACAAAGTTGCCCACGATCACCACAGGAGATATTTGTGTCCCTCTGATTCAGGATACACTTTAGTCCCATCTTTTCTTCATTCTCTTCACGTTGCCAGTCCATCTAGTTAAAGTGAAACCTGCAAATCTAGAATGTGTTTATGAACAAATTTTTAGTGATGCTATACAATAGGCAGTGGGATCCTGCTTTGGTTTTTTTGGGTGTCCTGTAGCCTTGATCCACCCAACAGTGAATTTTTCTGGCAATAAATTAAATAAAYCTCACCTGTCTGTGGCCAGGCCAGTCTGTGAGTCCCCAAGGAGATGTGATAGTCAATAAGGACGTTTAAAACTCAATGTAGAAACAAGCAGGAAAGCAACTGTGAGCCTTGCACAGCTGGTGTGAGGGGTGCCCCTGCTCCCTCCACCATGCCCCGTTTGCAGGGGGGATGAAAAAAAACATCCAATCTCGGGGCTTCCGTGCACTGACAGCATCAAATCACTCCTTCTTTCTCAAAGAAAATAGTGTTTGAGGTGTCTTGTGTTGCTGAGATGTGAAATGCAACCCAGCAGTGGCATACCCGAGTCCCTGGCCAGTAAATCACCATGGGGCCAGTGCCAGGCAGGCTGACACGAGAGCTGGATTCTCACCAAAAGGCCCCATTCCCCCTGCACGGGGAAAAGCTCATTTTGGCCCTTCCAGAAGCAGCAGAGAGCCTGCAGGCAGCTGGCCTGCCCTACCCACATGTCCTCCCCGCTGTTTCATTCCAGGATTCCTCCTGGGCCCGCGAGCAGAGGCTCCCTGTGGGCTCTGGGGACGGCGCTCCGGGGACACCCCCGCGGCTGGTGAGGGTGACAGCGCGGCGGACGGAGGCACCGGCCAGCGTGTGCAGCCTGGTGCTCAGCTCGCACAGCACCCTGCCCCAGGTGAGCCTGCGTGCGCCCCACGCCACCTCCCGCCCCGCCAGCCCTGCCCGCTGGCACTGAGGGGACAGCGCCGGGGCCGTGGGCTCGKGGGGATGGCATTTCCCTCCCCGCTGCTCTGCTGCTGCTCCCACCAAACACCCAGCGGTCACCCTGTCGTGCCGAGGGCTGGACAGCACCAAAATCACCCCCTTGCGTTAGCGCTGGCCCCGTGTCAGCCCTCAGGGCTCRGAGGGCAGGTGGATGTGGCGCAGGAATAAAGAGGCTGCGTGGAGCTGGAAATCCTCCCAGGCCCGTCCCTCTCGCCCCCGGCGCTGGCACGCTCCCACGTTGCAGATTTCCGTATTTTTTTCTCTGAGCTCTTAAATGGCAGGTCCGTTCCTTGGCTTCCCGGGAGCTTTTCTCTGCTGTCTTGTTTACTTGGAAACGCCATTTATTTGGATGTGCACCGTAAAGCTCAGCCTCCACCTGGTGCAAGAGCATCGTTTGGGCTACGCGTTTGAGGGGAGTTTTGTAGGGATGAGTGAAGGGCAAAATGCACTTTTGGGAAGGATGAAGTGGCCAGGAAGAATGGAGCTCACCACAGATTTAAAATTATATGAAAATGTTGTTTTTCTTGGCAAAGTTTGAAATAATGCTTGTTTGCTAAGTCTTCTTCCAAAGTATTTTAAATACAAATATTGCACTGCCTCTTTTCTGTCCTTTTTTAAATGTTTCCCTTCTTTTTCTCGACTGCAATAAAATGGGTAACACCCCATTTTTTCCTCTTACTGTTTAATTTCTCCTTTTCTTCTTGTCTCTCTCTACATTTTCAATCATTCACTGTATCTTTAGCAGTTTTTGAAGGGCGAGACGGTGGTTTTCTGAATATGACAAGAAGATGAGCTTGGCTGCTGATTTCCATTTGCCAGTGGGTGGGAGCCGCCACCACAGGGGAGTCACAGGGCAAAATCCATGAGGGGGTGAGAGCCTGAGCAATTGGGAACAGTCAGATTTTAAGGGATTTTCTTTCTAATTGTCCCAGGCCATGGAATACAGCAGCTCTTGCGTCCAGCTCCAAATCTCTGACTGAGTTGCAACGTCTCCTTTAGCAGCAGACACCCAGCTTTGATTTTAAGGCTTCATGCAATGGAGAGTCTGCTCTGCCCCCGGCCTGGCTGGCCTGATGGTTATTTATCCTTCACATTAAAAATCTATATTTTACTGTTAGCCTGGATTTCTCTTGCTATAGCTCTCAGCACCAGGGAATTTTGCCGCCTTTGTYTGCTAGGATAAAGGACCTTGGCAATCAGAAATGTTCCCAACATGTAGGTATTTATAGATGCGTCTAAGTTCCCTCTTAACTCTCCCTTAGATAAACTAAACAGATTGGCTTCTTCACTCGCTCACTGTTGAGGCAGGTTGTTCCAGACCTGAAATAATTCCTGTCATTCTTTCCAGCCTCCTTCTTTCCTAGCCTGTGTCGGCATGGGGCCGGTCCTTGGTGCCAGTGCTGGTGCTTTTGGGGTCCCCCATTTGCAGGGACTGCCAGCCCCGAGCAGGGGGTCACTGCCCCGAGAGGGAGGAACAGTGGGGGCCTGGCTGGGCAGATTGGGACTCTGGAGAACTGTGCTCTGGCAGGGCTCTCATCTGCAGCCTCTTTCATCCCAGAGGATGATCATTTCACAGTGTGGCTGCAGGCAGAGCAGGGAGCTGAAGGTGAAAATGGCAGTGTTCAGTGCCAGGCTTAGCCATGCCTGTAGTCCTGCCTGAAACTTGGCTTTCTGTGGAAACCCAGCAGCTTTCCTGAAAACTGGAGCCAAGCAGTGCTGGAGAGCTGCAGACTCAAGCACTTCTCCTCTGAGCTGCGATGCAGAGTCCTTTGTCACAGTGGTGAGCCTTTCCCCAAGATGTCACCTTCACTGCCGAGTACAGCCTTGCTCTGTCACAGGGGGAGCATTTCCAGCAGTCCCCCACRTCAGGGATTTGGACCCTGAGACAGGATTGGGTGCCCGGGACARGCTGTGCTGATGGACCACAGCACGAGCCCTGTTTCTCATCCTTCACTSCTGCACAAAGGCCCTGAGGACACCTCAGCTCCTGCCAGCATCGCATCCCATGTCAGTGCTCAGCACCCCCAGCAGGCAGGACAGCACCAGGGCTGGACAACACCTACACACCCAGCTCCTGCCCCGCTCCRTGGGGACTTCTTCCGTCCAGCCTTCAGTGCCAGAAACACCTGAGATGTGTTTGGAAGAACCAGGAAAGCTTCTGTATTAGGTGATACTTAATGCTAGGGCAGGGGAGCACCAACTGCAGGGCAGACCATCCTGGTGCCATCAGCCACCCTGGGGCCATCAGCCCAGGAACAGGAGCTCTAGTGGATACCCTGCCACTGACAAAAGGCAAGATGATGAACTGGCTTTTCCTGCCTGAAGTAAGTGCAATTCTCTTACTGCATCCACCGATGTAAATAAGTTTTCTTTTGTCCTGGCTTTGTGCTCTCCCCTGCCCGCAGCTCTCCATGGCACTGTGAACAGAGCAAAAGCTACCATGACCTGCTTTAGCCAGGAGGATGCATGACATATGTATTACCTCTCCACACAAACGCTTCCAGGAACAGGAAGTTTCTGCCTGCTGGCGAGGATGTGGATGTGCTGTGGATAGCCCCGCAGTGTGCAAATGGCTGCTACAAAGGAAGAAGTGCYGGTAAATACAGCTACAACATGTGCTTCCTGGTGAGGCTTAGTGGGCTGAAACCATCCCTCCCCGGCAGAGTGGATGTTCAGCCCTCAGCGGGCAGGAGCAAAGGGACTTTGCCASATAGAATGCCCTGTTGAGGCCAACAGAGGCACAAACCTGACTGAGTTCCTGGGCGTGTTGGGTTTTATTTGTTGAATACTTCATTTCAACCTTTCCTCGAGCCCTRCGGTTGCCTTAGCAGGGCTGCTCGGGGGTTATGTGCGCCTGCAGCGGAGACTCACGAGGATGCTCCTGTGGCCRGTGTCGCTCGCCCGTGCTCCCAGGCTGCCAAGGAGGCTGCCGCCCTCAGGAAACGCCGTTTCCATCCTCTGTGCGGGGAGCAGCTAGCTGTAAAGATAAATGGATGAGGAACAATGCCGCTGATGAGCAGAGCCGTGCGCCTGCGAGGAAGCGCTGCTCTTCCCCTGCCACCCTCTCTCGCTCCGCAGCCGCTCTGGCTCCATCCCCGTCACCGCGGTGGA